CAATAGTTTTGATTCTTCTTTTAACCAAAAATATAGTGAAATGTAGTCTCCTCTAAAGGGGGTTGTGTCTGTCATGTATTTCAAGAAATAATGACCATAATGTCACAAAATGTGGACTAGACGTTCACAGAGAGTCATGCATTCAATAAAGAAAACAACTGTGTCATTTTTGTAATATATCTACACTTAAACACACAGGAAGTAAGGAGTCTAACAACCAAAAAGAGACTGTTATCTTTCCATAAAAGTAGGTAATTTGACATCTTACCTCACCCTTTGCTTCACCGCATCAACAGGTAAACTGCAAAGCTGTGTGTTTGCCTGCCATAACATCACTCTGTCTGGGTTTTCTCAATGTGTGTACAGTTTAATTTTCAGTGAATAAATGCAACATCTCCTCCAGACTCAAACAAAGAAGGAGGTTAGCATCAAAGTTAGCAACAACTCCAGCTCAGGCGTACTTAAAGCCACTAATTCAGTGAAGTCAAGCTTTTTTTAATAGCTATTTAAACAAAAACGGTAACAATAATAGGTCACGTTTAATTATTAACATCCCTACTGAGCTGTACATGAACCAGGTGCAAACTGTTCCTCACTGACATTAAGTCTTTGGGATATAAGTGACATCATCTCCAGAGCTGACATTAATCAAAGTGATCCATCGTCTCCTTTCTCCTCCAAACTGGGTCACCTTTGTTTTGGTAAAAGTGGTGAGTCACTGTGTTCTCAGTAGTCCTCATAGATGATGTTACCTAACGCACCTTCACTGATGCTGTTCCTCCAGCTGTAGCTCAGAGAAGACATATGATGTGAGACACTGTGATAGCAAGACACATTTAAAAAGTGAGTCTCTCTGCCCGGAGCATGGTTGTCTAATTAAAGTCGCCTCTCTTGCCTCTCTGTCTCCAGGATTAGCTCTGACGGGTCAGCGGGGAGTGCACGGATACACTTAGAATACATTTAACTACTGCTTGTGTCATTATCATCATCAGAGAAAGGAAAAGACTTTGAACAGCTTTCTCTAAAAGTCTTGATTTGTGACATACCAGCCGTTCCTCCATGACACGGCTCGGAGGGGAGACGATGCTCAAAGAAATGTGGTGTCTGTCAAAAGTGATGTTTATCTTCTGCGTGCACATCCACAGCCATTTTATGTGTTGTCTCTGAATGCTGACATCATGCAGCATCTCCCAGAGAGACAAGTCTTTCAACCCTGGTTCTGTTTCATCCCATAAAAACGTACATATAGAAACCCTAGAATTATTAGGGAAAACTTCAGAATAAACCGCAGAATAAATAGGTAGATTCTGACATAAAAACCCTAGAATAAATGGGGAAATTAGCCCAAAGAAACCCCAGAATAAATGGAGAAAACTCCAAATAAACCCCAGAATTAATAGGGAAATACTCCCAAAGAAACTCCAGAATAAATGGGGGACAAATCTAAAATAAACCCCAGAATAAATGGGGGAAAACTCCCAAAGGAACCCCAGAATTAGGGAAACTTTCCAAATAAACCCCAGAATACATAGGGAAAACTTCCACACACAAAAAACAGAATTAATAGGGAAATACTCCCAAAGAAACCCCAGAATAAATGGAGAAAATTCTCAAATAAACCCAAAAATAAATTGGGAAATTCTCCCAAATAAACCCCAGAATACATAGGGAAAACTTCCACACACAAAAAACAGAATTAATAGGGAAATACTCCCAAAGAAACTCCAGAATAAATGGAGAAAAACTCTCAAATAAACCCCAGAATACATAGGGAAAACTTCCACAACTGAATTTCTTGAAACTGAATTAATAGGGAAATACTCCCAAATGAACCCCAGAATTAATGGAGAAATTCTCCCAAAGAAACCCCAGAATAAAGGAAGGAAACTCCCAAAGAAACTGCATAATAAATTAGGGAAAACTCCCAAAGGAACCCCAGAATAAACCACAGAATAAATAGGGAAATACTCCTAAAGAAAGTGCATAATAAATGAGGAAATTCTCCCAAAGAAACCCCAGAATAAATTGGGAAAACTTTAAAAACAAAAACTGAATTAATAGGAAAATACTCCCAAAGAAACCCCAGAATGAATAAGTAAACTTCCAAATAAACCCCAGAATAAACCCCAGAATAAATGGAGAAAAACTCTCAAATAAACCCCAGAATAAATGGAAAAAAACTCTCAAATAAACCCCAGAATAAATGGAGAAAAACTCTCAAATAAACCCCAGAATAAATGGAAAAAAACTCTCAAATAAACCCCAGAATAAATGGAGAAAAACTCTCAAATAAACCCCAGAATAAATGGAGAAGAACTCTCAAATAAACCCAAGAATAAATGGAGAAAAACTCTCAAATAAACCCCAGAATAAATGGAGAAAAACTCTCAAATAAACCTCAGAATAAATGGGGAAATTCTCCCAAAGAAACCCCAGAATACATAGGGAAAACTTCCAAATAAACCCCTGAATAAAGGAAGAAAACTCCCAAAGAAACTGCATAATACATTTGGGAAAACTCCCAAATAAACCCCAGAATACATAGGGAAAACTTCCACAATAAAAAACTGAATTAATAGAGAAAAACTCCCAAAGGAACCCTAGAATGAATGGAGAAAAACTCTCAAATAAACCCCAGAATGAATAGGGAAATACTCCTAAAGAAAGTGCATAATAAATGGGGAAATTCTCCCAAAGAAACCCCAGAATTAAAAGGGAAAGTTTCCCCCAAAAAAAACAGAATTAATAGAGAAAACTTCCAAATAAACCCAACAAATAAATGGGGAACAACTCCCAAAGAAGTGCCATCATAAATGAGGAAAATGGAGACCCTGTGAGTGCTGACATCATGCAGCACCTCCCAACGAGACAAGTCTTTCAACCCTGGTTCTGTTTGATCCAATAGAAATAAGAAACAGCGTGTTGTATCCAGGCAACAAGTTCGTTGCCAGGTGACAGATACAGAGATACAGAGGTCCTGAGACCAGAGCCTGCATGCAACAAACTCCACCATGAATAATGAGACAAGACATGTCACCTCCTGCTCACATCTCTTTGATAATCTGGCTTTGATCGCAGAGTAAACAATACACGTCTGTTTGCCATCATGTGAACAGAGAGTCGAATGCAATAAACACTACAGATGAGCAGTGACAGTCGATTTCAGGCATTAATCAGATGGTTTAATTGCTGCATGAACTACACACTATACTGGCTTATCAGAGAAAACGGACAGCATATATGGAAATAGCCATAAATGGTGGGTATTATTCAACATGCTATTCCTGGGTCTTTCATGTGGCAGGCATGAACCGAGAGATAATGATCATTTCCAAGGCGCCACGTAGTTCACTTTGATATCACCTTAGCAGGGGGCATTTGTTTACTCAAGATAAAGCAAAAGCGGTGGATGGTAAACGGGGTACATGGAACATTAAAGCTGCATTTATCAACATATTGTCACACGTCCAAAAAGATCAGATAAATGTACTTAGTAGTGACAAAACAGAGAAATGACCAGACTCTATTGTTTGTTTATATTCTGCTTTCATCATCACTGTTTTTAAAAGAAAGAGAAGTACATTGTATGCTACACGCCCAGAACTAAAGGAGAGAAAGACAGTGTTGATAACTTGTTAGGAAAGTCAAACATTCAGTAAGTAAGTAAAGTAATGTACTACAAAGTTCAGGCTATAGCCACCACCAGAATCAGACCTTTGCTGCCACCTACCGGTCCAATCTGAATCAAGAATAAAAACATGTATTGAAGAGGCAACATTATGCAGAATTCTTGCAATTTATATTATTTAAAGGTCCCATGTCATGCTTTTCCGGTTATTACCCGTCCCCTTGTGTGTTATGTAGCTTTTTCTGCATGTAAACGGTCTGCAGAGTCACAAACCCTCAAAGTACACCCTGTAGCGAGTAAAACTCTAACACAGAAAAGACCTGTCTATGCTGCCCCAGAACGCCTCGTTGGGGATTTCTCTTTTTCCATTGTTTACTTCTTGGGTATAGTGACGTATTTCGGGTATAGTGACGTAACGTAATGTTCGCGGAGCCGTTACGTTTGGACCAATCCGCGGACTTCCTCACACACACACACTCGGCGGGACGTTGCGAGGCTCACTGGTGTGGGGTCAGCGAGACACCGCGGAACTCAGCCTGGGCACACACACAAACTCCTAGCCAGGGTGCGGGTGTGTGTGTGTGTTTCGGGCTGGGTTTCGCTGTGTCTCGCTGTCTCGCAGACGGCCACTGGGCTCACAGGGAGGGGGGGGGGGGGGGGGCAGGAGCTCCAACAAGCCGTTTAGGACAGAGAGTGAATACACATACTATACAGAGATGCTGTATGAGAAACCAATGTGAGTTTGGAAAATTGCACAATATAAATGTATTCTAGTAGACCTCAACAATGGAATTATGATCAGTAGAAATGGCCATGACATGGGACCTTTAAATAGGACATTACTGGTGGAGGTTTAAGGCAAATGAAAAGGGACTAGAATTGTTCCAAAAGAGAGGAGGAATGGTAAGAATTTCGTAGATGTAGTAACTTTAAAATTATTATTATTATTCAACTATTTATATTTTATTACACCTTCCCTGCTTATTGGACACCGCCTTTTTGACTACTTAATTCTGATTGGTTAATTTGGACATTCCGGGGGTTGTTGATTTTTGCCAACAGACCGTTGCTACGAATAACAGACCGTTGCTAAGGGGAATATATATATGCAGTGTATGTGTGGTTTGTTTGACAGGTTGTAGTAGCTACGATTTATATTTTGATCGGATATTTTTCGCTACATATTTGAAGACAATTACAATCATGCTGAAATAAAAATGTTGAGTTGATATCGTATTTGAAATGTAATGTTTTAAAGGATGTTAAAATAAATAAGATTAACGTACAAACTCTCTCTGAACATATACGTATCGATAAGAGTAAATATATATTTTTCATAAAGTAAACATTTAAAAAAAAAAAGAGTAGAGAATGCAATTGCAAGAGTCACCTTTATTCATATTCCACACAAATTAATTTAGTAAATGTATATCCGAATTAAATGTATAAACAAAGACAATTAATATGATAGAAAATAAACAGAAGAGCTTTACTGTTTCTCCAACAACAAAAAAAGGGACGTTTTGAAAAATGAACAATGACATTTATATCACAAATCACACTAAATTGCGGAAAGTCATTCTGTGTTTAAGTGCTGAAAACGATCAATCCATGACGTTAACATTAGCTCTCCTTTGAAGGTAAAAGCAACACAAAGGATCAGTTTGGATTCTGTACTCAGTGCTTTTCATTTTAATTCCTACATGTTTTTGTTGAAAACTCCCAGAGTTCAGACTGCCTGTGTGTGTGTGTGTGTGTGTGTGTGTGTGTGTGTGTGTGTGTGTGTGTCTCTTTTAGACCCTGTCTTGTGTCTTGTGTCCTTCTGTGTTTATGTGAAATCTATGATGTTAACATAAGCTCTCGTTTGAATGTAGAAGCAAAACAAAGATCACTAAGGTGTTAAGAATCAGCAGAGAGCACTTATACAGCACTTTTAGTATTGTGTTGTAATGTTAATCCTAAAAGTTCTTGTTGAAAACCTCCCCGAGTTCATACGGCAGGTCATTCTGTGTTTAAGTGAAATCTATGACGTTAACATAAGCTCTCGTTTGAATGTAGAAGCAAATCAAAGATCACTCAGGTGTTAAGAATCAGCAGACAGCACTTTTAGTATTGTGTTGTAATCCTAAATGTCCTTGCTCAAAACCTCCCAGAGTTCATACATCACTCAGAAGACCTCCAGATCTGCAGCGTTGTAGACCACCGCCGTCTCCTCGATGCCCGAAGCACTTTCCTCCTGACCTTCCTCTTCTTCTCCAGCGTCCTCCAGTGACTCCAAAGCCTCGTTAGTATCGCTGGCGAACGTTTCCCTGGAGACATCGTCGTGCTCCTGTAGGTTCAGCGTGCCGATGGCCTGCTTCATCTTCTTCGCCACCATGTTCCGCCTCCTCTTCTGCGCCGCCTTCTTGCTCTTGCAGTCGTTGTGTTGTTCCTCAAAGAATATCTTCTTGATCTGGCCCTTGCTGATGCTCGGTGTGTTCTTCAGGAGGTAGAGATAAACCCCGCCGGGCGTCCTTCGCCTGCTGCCGTCCATCGTGAACACGCCGCCATTTTCCTCCAGCGTGGCGGTCTCTCCCAGCAGTTCGATGGCCTTTTTATTCCCGATGACTTTAACGATGCGCTCTATTAGGTCTTTTTTAGGCTCCCGCAGCCTGTACGCTATCTCATCCGTCACCCTATCTTCAAGGTCGTCTTCTGTGACTACATATCGACCCTTGGTGTCCATTTCAGCTCGGGGGCCGATTCTCTCTTTCACCGATCTCTTCCTCTTAGTATCTCCTCCCGATTTCTCCTCTGATCCTCGCTCCTTCATGCAATCCTCCAGGTCCGTGTCCAGCATGTTCACCTCTCCGTCTTTATTTGCCAGTTTCTCCAGCTCCCTCTCCTTGTCCATTATCTTACGAGCCAGGACAAAGTTATACGTCTCCACATTCCTGCTGGACATGCTGAATTCACCTTCCATACCAAATATGCCCAGCTCTGCAGCCACGGCATCCTGGCACTGCTCCTGCACCACAGAGCCCCAGATGTTGTTCACTTTTCGGCCTCCTGGAGCGTTTGGTACGTCCATTCGGGTCGGTTCTGGCCTCGTGGCGGTGCTGGAAGGCGGCGGCTGGGCGTCGTTGGATGCTTTCAGGCGTTTGTGGCGCCAAACGGTCGAATCCTCGTCCGAAGAATCCTGGTCACTGTCGCTGGACACCGGCTTATTTCCACTTCTGTACGAGGCAGCAGAAGGCTGGACAGCGGCTCTGTTGTGGAAGGACTGCCCGCTAAAAGCTGCAGGAACCTGGGCTGTTCCCATCTCCGTATCCGAGCCAGATCCGGAAATCTCTCCATCTTCCAGGTCGCCGTCCATTAGATCCCCTCCACCGGCCATTTCTTGTCTGGAAGCCACACCAAAGATAATCAGTGATGTAAAGTAACTAAGTCGATTTACTCAAGTACTTGACTTAAGTGTTTCCATGTTATGCTACTTTGTACTTCTACTCCACTACAAATCAGAGGTAAATGGTGTACTTCTACTCCACACTACATGTATTTAATACCTTTAGTTACTTTACAGATCTGGATGAATGATGTGAAATATAATCAAGTGTTAAATCAGACTTTAGTTCCACCTGGAGTAAATTCACAAGCTACCCTGCAGTATACAAAGTCATTCAAACTAGCTGCACCTTTACCAGCTTTGAGAACACTTTAATGATCAACCATTATAAAACATATCATATATATTATTCTGAAATGGACCAATCTGCACAATGACTACTTTTACTGTCGCTACTTTCACTATATTTTGATGATAATACTTTTCTACTTGAGTGACATTTTGAATGCAGGAATTTTACTGTAACAGAGTATTCCTACACTCTGGTACTTCTACTTTTACTCAAGTACAACATCTGAGTACTTCTTCCACCTCTGTATAAATAATAACGCCCACTGTTTTAATGCATCAGCCAACGTTAGGGCTACGCATTAGCAACAAGAGCTAACACAACATTAGCAGCTAGCGATACTATCTTGATATTAAACCGCAGGCAGAGAAGAGAAACAAGGTTTTTGTTAATGCTGAAATACCTTCAAATATCCGACTCCGTAGTGGTCTCTCTGCTCTGCATGAAGTTGTATTTTAACCCTTGGTTTGTCTCTAATACTCACTATCAAGAGCTATGAAGAACGTTGACAACCAGAAGACAAACTTGAGATTTCTGAAGAGGTTCGCGCGAGAATAAAGGTCCATTTCCGGGTCCCAAATGACAGATCCTTTCAAAATAAACTGAACGATGGAAAACAAAAGTAAGAAAGAATGTGACTATTTTAACAGTAAATCATATTTAATATAATCAGAAAAACAAACAAAATACACTTTTTGACGGAGCCTAGAAATAATACTCAATTTAAACGGAAAAGCCTCAAATTTGCAAAAACGCAGTTCTGTAGGCTGTTTTCATACATTTTGGGTCGATTTGGATGATTTAAGGAGCTCTTGATCATATGGACTGTCGAGATTGCCTATTTATTTGAAAAAAACATTTTAATGTTCGCAACAATTCTGTTTTTTTCCTTTAAATGAAATCCTCTGCTCCTCAACGGCGGATGTAGCGTAAGATTGCGTGATTGAACGCGACGCATGCGCAGTGTGACAAACAAACAATATGGCGGCGTCCTTACAGCGCCTCACGTCTGCTGGGAGAAATCTCCTTCAAAGGAATTTACTGAAGACATGTTCTTCAAACAGGGTAAGAAGATTGTGTTTATGGTGGTGTTTTGGTTATTATACCTTCTCTCCAGGTGTCAAAATTACAGTCTAACTGAGGAAAAGCTCCCAGTGTTTGCTGACAGTTAAAGTCTCTGGTAGCTTACATAAGGCAATTCAAGTTCTGGTAATATGTGAAGTATCATTTCATTTAAACCTAAACATAGGTCATTTAAATTCATTATCAATAACGGGTGGGTTGTAACATATGATGCCACTGTCCTAAATCTGCAGTGTCATCATGATAAGCTGTCAATGTATTGGACATTTTAGTACAACCCTAGTATACCCTTCAAAGTCAAATGTATTGTCAATTCCTCTATTTGTGTAATACAGACCGGAAATTCAGATTCGACTTATATAAATACACACACACACCTTTACCCCCACTTAAATATACCTATACACATCTACATACTTATAAATGGACACATATATACACGCATTTAGAGGTATAAATACATAGAAGGTACAACAGTAAATATATAAAAAACGGTGTTTGCATAATCATGACTTTCAACTTATAAGACAAGAAGTCTTGATCTTTTGGAGCTGATTTTAATTTAGCTTGCCTCAGTGTAGAAGGACTATTACTACCACTTGAACTCAATTTGAACCTATGGCTGTCTTAGTGTTTAAAACTCTATTTTAGTTGGTGCATTTGACCTTTTTAGGCTATGACACTGGTTAATAACACATGTGGGATTGTTTTTGCAACACAGCTTCATACAACAAGGAATGATGAGATGGTGCATGTAGTCTTGAGTCCTTTCTGCAGGAAGATTGGTTGTTTGTTTGTTCCTAATAAACGATTACTAATTTTAGTAGTATAATTTCCATCGCATTCATTTGTGTGTTTTCTCCACCTGCAGCTCACACCTGGATCTCACAGACTGTTATCGACACAGGCTGCTCAACAAGTGGCTCTCAATGTTCCTGAAACTAAGGTGACAACTCTAGAAAATGGACTCCGAGTGTCTTCAGAAGACTCTGGGCTCACCACCTGCACAGTAAGCACTCACTCACTCACTCACTCACTCACTCACTCACCCTAAGTTAAACTGAACTTGTTTATTTATTTACTCGGCATAAGTTCTATACATACATGCAGCCCCAAGGGGTGTTTCACATACATGACATTAGAGATTGTGATAAGACCAAGTAAAGTAGACATTTAAAAAGTGATCTCTAGTTCACAACATTGGTTAAAGCAGAAGGCAACTTAATTTATTCTCTGTTTTTTTCCAGGTGGGCCTCTGGATAGATGCCGGCAGTCGCTACGAGAACGCCAGAAATAATGGCACAGCACATTTCCTGGAACATATGGCATTTAAGGTGAGATAAAGACAATGAAAATACGTTTTCTTGTCTTCTATTGTGACTTATTTGCATCGTGCAATAGCTATTGAAGTTTGATGTAGATTTTTCTATAAACACATGCTTGCAAATGATACAAAGGTGAATTTTACAGAGTGAAATAATTGCCTTTTGTTGGGAAAATAGTGAATGTCCTCTTCCAATATGAGAGTAACATGATAACAAAGGTATCCCAACTGTAGCTGTGAACATGACAGGATGTATGATTACCTAGAAGAGCATCAGGACTGTTTTAGGCATATGATAGCTATGTGATTAACATGATGATTCAGCCTCTATGGAGATAGACATATGACAAGCATGCTCATTTCTGACGTGGAGCTAATCTGAAGTAAACATTGAATACTGCTTTCTATTCCTCCATCTTGTGACTGTGTAACTCCCTCTCTTGTATATCAGCATGTGAAGGACTCTGTTCAGGAACTAGTTGATGCTCTGTATGTGATGACTCCTTCCATTCTGGAGAGGATCACAAATACATGGATCCTGAGATTGAAGATCAAGCCAGGGATGAATGATTAGAAAAAGTCATAATTTTGAGAAAAAGTCAGGATTTTAAGATTTTGAGGCAAAGTAAATTTTTTGAGAGAAAATCAAAATTTTGCGAAAAAGTCAGAATTTTAAGATTTTGAGGCAAAGTCAATTTTTTTTTGAAAAAGTCCAAATGTTATTGAAAAAGTCAGAATTTTGAGATTTTCAGAAAAAAAAGCAAATTTTCTGTAAAAACTATTTTGAACATGACAGGATGTATGATTACAAGACCCGGTATTCCTCCATCTTGTGACTGTGTAACTCCCTCTCTTGGATATCAGCATGTGAAGGACACTGTTCAGGAACTAGTTGATGCTCTGTATGTGATGACTACTTCCATTCTAGAGAGGATCACAAATACATGGATCCTGAGATTGAAGCTGAAGCTGATGACGAGTGACATTTGTCTCACACCTTTTCTCTAACAATGCAAAGTATAACAGGTTTGCTCTCCTTTGTATCCTTCAGGGCACCAGGAAGCGCTCCCAGCTGGATCTGGAGTTGGAGATCGAGAACATGGGAGCTCACTTGAACGCTTATACATCTCGAGAACAAACGGTGTATTACGCCAAAGCTTTCTCTAAAGATCTTCCACGAGGTACAGTACAGCAGTGCGGTGATATTAGGGCCACTCTGGTGTGTAGGGATGGATACAAAGAGAATACAAATGGCTATGATAGAAAGGAACATGTCACCATGAGGAGAGGACAAACAATAGTTTAGAGCAGGGGTGTCAAACTCAATTTCATCACGGGCCACATCAGCATTATGGTTGCACTCAAAGAGCCGGTTGAAACTTTAAGACTATATCAATAATTAATATAACTTCATAATTAACTACGTCTGAAAGCAGAAGTCTAGAGCAAATAATTGCAAGTCTCTTCAGTAAGAATGTCACAATATGATTTTAAAAGAAAAGCCACATTCTGGAAAAACATTGATTGTGACATTTTGAAAAAGAGAAGTGACATTTTGAAAAAAAAATCTATTTATGAGGAAAAGGCTAATTCTAAGAAAAAAGGCATATTTGGACAAAAAAAAGTCAAATTCTGAGAAAAAGGCAAATTTGAGATGCATTGTGGGACATGTCGTTTATGGGCAACGTGCTTCTGTAAAGTAGCACGTAACCGTATAATAAACATATTATATTCTTTGCAAGCTCTTGTGGGGCCACATAAAATGAAGTCGCGGGCCGGATTTGGCCCCCGGGCCTTGAGTTTGACACCCCTGGTTTAGAGGAAAATCCATCATAGATGTCGCACAACCAAAAATAACACATTCTGTTGCGGCTCAATTTTCAATAAATGAAGTCGCTAGAAAGGCTAGGACTAGGCTTGGTACTTCTGAAGTTAAAGGATAAAAGATAGTACTTAAGTTCAAGTTTAAGATGTTTAATGAAGTAAAGTGAGCAATAACTAAAAGCAGAACCACGCGGTCAAAAGAAAATGTCTGAACCTAAATCAAAACCCTTCCTCTTTCCCCAAGCCCTGACATTCAGTGACAAATTATGAACAAATAATAATAATACATGTTATTTATATAGCAATTTTCCTTTCGCTCAAAGCGAGTAAAGAAAAATACTTGATAAATAGAAAATAATAAACAACAGCTAAATTGGACAGGGTGGCGTGTGGCGTAGTGGACTAGTGCGTTGGTGTTCGGATCAGGGGAGCACAGGTTCAAACCCCACTGCAGTCAGCATGTCGTTGTGTCCCTGAGACACTTCACCCCAAATTGCTCCTGTGGGGATTGCCCACAGTATTGAGTATGTAAGTCGCTTTGGATAAAAGCGTCTAACAAGTAACATGTCATGTAATGTAAATAAGCATTTTGGCTGCTACACATTCAATGCACTGAACAGCACAGACTGTTTCGTTTGAAACAATTTATCCAAATATATGTGTGTTTTTGTCCCCAGCTGTGGAGATCCTGGCAGACATCATCCAGAACAGCACGCTGGGGGAGGCGGAGATCGAGAGGGAGCGTGGGGTGATCCTCCGAGAGATGCAGGAAGTGGAGACCAACCTGCAGGAAGTGGTCTTTGATTACCTGCATGCGACTGCGTACAGGGACTCTGCTTTGGGGCGGACCATCCTGGGCCCCACCGAGAACATCAAGTGAGACCCTGACCATCTTTTATAGTGCTCATCCACTAACACATGCACACCAGGCTACTGTGAGACTATGTTTTCTGATCAAAAATATTGTTATTGCGTTTCGACAATGACACACACACACACACACACACACACACACACACACACACACACACACACACACACACACACACACACACACACACACACACACTAGTATCACGGTGTACAGAGATACATACGTTGTGCATTTGCTTATCTACGTTATCTTAAAAAAACTAGTGTGTGCGAGTTAAAGGTACATATATCATTAAACCTACAGTATGTTGGATGTTTTTAATCGTAGGACAATATATAAAATGCTCAAAAGCTCAAGTTATTTTCCATTTAGTAGTTCATTTAACACGCTATAGTGCAGCTAACATGCATTGATTTATGAGAAAATGAAATATCTCTACTGTTAGTGCAACGATATTGTACGGTTGACTGTTAGTGCTTTCACAAAATCTTTACACAATGACATGTTTGATAAATAATCATCAATTATATATAGATGTAATGACTAACTTGATACAAGGAAATAATAGAACAGCTACCACAGTCTACTAGGTCCATATAAAATGACATCTCTTTACTCTTTGTCATTTTTAAACCAGGAGAAGACAACACGAATGTCATATTATGATATTACAAATTCTAACGTTGCTTTATTATATGGTCTTGTACATGGTTCCTTCGTGCTGTAAGTGGGTTGTGTTTGCTTGCAGGACGATCAACAGAGGAGACCTGGTGGAGTACATCACCACTCACTACAAAGGAGCCAGGATAGTGCTGGCTGCTGCTGGAGGTCAGAGACATCCATCATTTATATATATTATTATTGACCTATAAAAACTCCCAGATCGATATATAACTCCCAGTCAGGGTTTCCGTTACTGAATGTCCGGTAATAATTAGGGATGCTTATCGGCCGATATCCACTCTTAATAGTTTGATCGGTGCTCTCTATAAAGGCCGGTCAGGAGAGCTGGATCTGATCGATATGGACATAAACGCGAGTGAAGTTTAACCGGACGAGAGATCAGAGATCAGATCAGCTGCTGAGTCTGACGGAGACTCGGGGTGTTTCTCAATGTCGAGTAAAGCTGCTCCAGAGCCACTATTTCAAGCATACTACGTCATCGAGTCCCGCCGAAGTACTGTTCCAATCTCCAGCATACTTGGAATTCTACCGAGCCCGGCGTACTTCGTAGCGAGAAATTTCGAGGCTGCACATGTGTAGACTCCGCGGTCTTAAAATCCCCACAATGCTTTGCGCATGGACCAATTTCCCCAAATCTGTGGCGGTAAATGTAAGGCGGGGCCTCTCAGATGACGCACACCTGCACACTTGCTCGCCTGTTCCACTCTTCGTTTTCCGAATGCCAGGAAGGATTCTTGCGTTGCCACCCGGGGTGTTTCTCAATGTTGAGGACGCTTGCTTGGTAGCACATGTCTTCCCGAGTCACTTGCTTCAGAAGCGAGGCAAGAATCCTTCCTAGCCTCGGAAAACGAAGAATTGTGGAACAGGCTAACAGGTGTGCGTCATATGCGAGTCCCCGCCTTAAATGGAGCGCGATTTCCGCCAAAGATTTGGAAATTGGTCCGTGCGCAAAGCATTGTGGGGATTTTAAGACCATTGGAACAGTCCTTCTGCGGCACTCGATGACGTAGGATGCTTGAAATACACAATTCTTATTGTTATTATTGTAACATGACCGCTAAGTTTCAATTTTGTCCGGTAAAATTAATTCTTTCCGGACATTTGACCGGAAAGAAAAAATTGTTCAACCCTTAAGGAGGTTTTTGAAGTGTTGTTGTTGTTGTTGTTGTTTCTATCAGGAGTTTCTCATGATGAGCTCAATGATCTGGCCAAGTATCATTTTGGAAAACTTCCTGGAATCTATAAAGGTGAAGCTCCGGCACTTCCTCCATGCAACTTCACAGGAAGTGAGGTAAGCGGCTTGAACCACACACATGTCTGTCAGTATTTGTCATAATTCTGGGGGGCTATTTTTCAGCAGGAAGCACTTGTAGAGAAATTAGAAAGATGTAACAAAGGTAATTGAACCAGGGTGTTGAGGTTAAAGGTTAGTGTCTTTACTAAAAACTCAAAATGTCTCTATGACTTGCTTTTTCCCCTGACGTTGCAGTGTAACAATTGTTGTTTATTTCAAAAGCAACATCAGTCAGCATCAGTGTTTTCCGCCAGACCAGGGCTGAGAGGGCGTCCACCCCGAGACGTCACGTTGTGTCACGTGACTTGAATTTTGAATTGAGCCGTCCCTTATAGATACTATCTCTTTGCATATGCACACACACAATTTTGAATTGCGCCGTCCCTTATAGATACTATCTCTTTGCATATGCACACACACACAATTTTGAATTGCGCCGTCCCTTATACTATCTCTTAATGTTGTGGGGGAAACTTCTGAAGCAATTGGAAACAGGACTCAGAGAGGCACGAGGAGAGCTGGAGCTTTGATGGCAAACACTGGCGGTTTATTTGGAGTTACGGACGGAGAATTGACAAGACAGGTGGTGTGTCACGAGTTGACACAGCGGTTGCCAAACCAATTCTGAAGAACTCTTTCTGCAGCTCGAGGTTTTAACTAGTTCGGAGTTTAATAATCAACATTCTTTATCAGTGAGACTAAACAATTATGGACCCTGAATCTAACTAGAGCTCTCGTCCATAGAAAATAATGTGTGCCAGGGAACCTAAGTCCCTGAACAGTAAACTACCTCATGGCGGCTTGTGCTCTGTCATAGACTGGCAACAACAATGCGCCCAAGCTGCCCCTCCTTAAGAGAGATAGCAGCAATACCCAAGGCCGTAGACCTATGCCGTGAGAAAGAGACAGTGAGGAGAGAAAACGATGAACTGGGTCAGGTTGAATACCTAAGCAAATTATTCCCTAACAAACGTCTCCCTGCCGACAGGGACACCCCTCCTGGCATGGTCCTTGGAAGATGCGGCGGTGTTTTGGTTTTTTTCGTCACAGGAACGTGCTTTGCTGGCGGCAAAAAGAATCCCACCAGACTCCTTTGCCCCTCCAGCAGAGGGATGTTCTTGTCCTTTTTCCTTTTCGTCATTTCAAGCAATAAAAACTCTCGATCTTCTCTCAAATTATTAATTTCTTTGGACGCCCTCGGCTCGAGTTCAGGGAAGTCCGAGCTGAATAAGAGCAACGGCAAGACGCCCCCCCCTGGCGGAAACGCTGGTCAGCATAGCACAGCCTTACTATAATAATAATAATAATAATACATTTGATTTCTAAGCGCTTTCTCAGGGGCTCAAAGACTCTTTACAGTGGTGATAAAAAGGAAAGAAAATACAAAAAGTTGAATTAAAATATTAAAACAGCAACACAACATTATTCACACAGTCTGAAAACAAAATATGTATTTGGGAGTGTAGCTGCGAGGAAAGCAATCACTGAGAAATGTCTCAAACCAAACAGCCCATCTATAGATGATTGGTACGATATCATTCATGAAATCTTTGTAATGGAAAGAATAACCGTCTCTCTGAGGCTCCAGGAACTTACATGTGAGGACATTTGGGAGAAATGGAAAGTGTGTATTACCCCGATACGCCCTTCTTTTGTTTAACTGTTTGAATATTTTATTTAATAACACTGTCAATGTGTTATATTGAAAAGGAAACACCCCATGTTCTTGTGAGCTTATTGTTGTCGCCAAGAAACGGACCACTCTGTGAAACTATTTAACTACATATGTATATGTACACTGAAGTTGAAATGTGATCCAAAACAAAAAGCCAGTCTGCAGGTCAGTGCAGTCTCTGTTACTGACAGTGGGAATTATAATTATTGAAGTTGTTCTGCTGCTGTTTCAGATCCGTGTGCGCGACGACAAAATGCCTCTGGCTCACATCGCCATCGCAGTGGAGGCGGTGGGCTGGTCTCACCCCGACACCATCCCCCTCATGGTGGCCAACACTCTCATCGGGAACTGGGACCGCTCGTTTGGGGGAGGAGTGGTGAGTACTGGGGACACCTCGCTGTGAAAATACCTTTTTTAGTTTTAGGGTTTATTACGTCTATCACGGTCTGAGAAAACGTCTCAACAGTTTTACGAGTGTCAGACATTCATAAAGATGCATATCGCATTAAGTTGCCAGTTAAGTGGTCTGTATTATCACCAGGGACCACATTTTTCAAATTTTAACCAAAGTTTTAAGCAATTGTTTATCTGTTTATAATTACTCTACAACGTGTTCCTCTACCAGCATTACGGATATTTGTAAACCCTAAACAGCGGTCATGAAATGCGACTCACAGCTCTGGTTGTGGGTCTTAAATCTTTACAAACATCCCTCTCTTCGTCCTGTGGTCCAGAATCTGTCCAGTAAGCTGGCTCAGATGGCCTGTCAGGGGAACCTGTGCCACAGCTTCCAGTCCTTCAACACCTGCTACACCGACACCGGCCTCTGGGGGCTCTACATGGTGTGTGAGCCCGGCACCATCGATGAGATGATGCACTACACACAGATGGAGTGGTGAGTACACACACACACCTTTACTCAAGTAGAAGTACAGATACTCGTGTTTAAAAATACTCTGGTGAAAGTAGAAGTACTGACTAAACTTCTTTACTCAAGTAAAAGTAAAGAGGGCTTTGCAATGTACTTAAAGGGGACCTATCATGCAAAATGCACTTTTGTACGTCTTTTCTACATGAATATGTGTCCCCGGTGTTCCAGGGAACTCACCAAGTGTCAGAAAACACAACCCTCTCTATTTTCCTCCATACCCAAATCTCTAAAAAAGGGGCTGCAACGGATCTGATAAAAACTGATCCAGATTTGAACACTGTCCTGACGTCAGGACGGTGGTGCTACGGCTATTGGGCCAACTCCACCAATCAGGAGGAGACAGCCACGGCCATTGCCGTTCGAAAGCGCTGGAGACGCTGTAGTACATATGCCAGGCCAGTAGGTGGTGCTGTTCTCACTGAATCAGCCCTTGCAAAAACAGAGCTAAAAAATGTCAAATTGAGTGAAATGAGGCATGGCTAAAATGCATGATCTGTTTGGTATTTTGAAAAAAAAAAAAAGTATAAATATGCCTTATATAGGTATGGTCCTACACTATATTATTCAAATATAGCATGATAGGTCCACTTTAAGTACAAAGTACCCATAACTAGCAGCTGTTTTAAAGAGTACCTGACCTCCCTTTATATTAATAGAACAATAATGTCATTGTTAGCTAATGAATGTTTCCATGCTGAACAACGGCAACATGACAACGTTTTCATTGGTCCCTCTTCTTTAGAGAAGACCAGGAAATGATGGATACACGGATCGTGTTCAAATCAATAGGCACGCAATGACTCTAAATAATAATGATCACGCCACCAAACACACATTCAAACTAAAGGAACCAGCCTGTTTGGGAAATGTAAGAAGTAGAAAGTACAGGTATTTGGGTTCAACATGTAAGAAGTAGAAAGTACAGGTATTTGGGTTCAAAATGTAAGAAGTAGAAAGTTCAGGTATTTGGGTTCAAAATGTAAGAAGTAGAAAGTACAGGTATTTGTGTTCAACATGTAAGAAGTAGAAAGTACAGGTATTTGGGTTCAAAATGTAAGAAGTAGAAAGTTCAGGTATTTGGGTTCAAAATGTAAGAAGTCAAAGTAAAAAGTCGTCAGAAAAATAAGTAGTGGAGTAAAGTACTGATACCAGAAACATGTACTTAAGTACAGTAACGAAGTATTTGTACTCCACTACTTCCCACCTCTGGTGAGTGTACACTGAAAACCTGTAGAAATGGTACGGTTTGTGTATTTACTTCCAGGTGATGATGACGATGACGAGTCTTTTTGTTTTCTCTCAGGATGTCTCTTTGTACGAGTGTGACGGAGGGCGAGGTGGCAAGGGCCAAAAATCTGCTGAAGACCAACATGCTGCTGCATCTCGATGGTAAGACTGAGAGATTTTCCATTTGATTTTACAGGGTGTCCGCGGGGTCTTTAAAAGTATTAAAAGTTGATATATCAATTTAGCGAAAATGAAGGCTATTAAAAAGTATGAAACGGCATTTTCCAAGGTATTACATTTTGCAGCTTGTTTTTAATAAGTATAGAAATAGTCCAAAGAGGTTGTATTCTACAGTCTGCCTGAATGTAATCATTGCGTAGGTGTGTAGTGTGATTCTGTGTAGTTTCTTTATGGCACCCCGTTGGATTAGACGTCATCTGAACAGGACATCTCACGCTCACTGCTTGATAGCGCGCGAAGGTCCGTTTACGCCGGTTGTTAAACAACATCGTTATGGGGAAATGCAAGTTTGCGTCCAAATGGTTGGAAGATAAGGAGGAAGGACAATCAATACTGTATATAGTAAATGTGAGGTGAAGTGTGTCGCCAATGTAACCGGTTAGAACTCAAAGTGGCGATGAGGTCTTAAAATGTATGGAAAGGGTCTTAAAAAAGGTCTTAAAAGGTCTTACATTTGACTTCAGGATTCCTGCATATACCCTGTTTTCAAATATTACACAAAATAAGCTCTGTGGCAAACACACGTTTATGATACTTAACAAGTCTTGTTCAGCAGGATGATCTCCATATACACCACTATGCAAACGCCTCAAGTAAAAAGCAAACGTTGGGCTTTAAAGGAACTAAAGCACAGTCACATGACTTCAATCTCTTCAGTGTGTGTTAACCACATACCTTATTTCAAGCATCTGACCTCAAACATATTAGAAAAACTGTTGACTTCGAGCCAAGGAAACACAAAGTGGTAAAATAATGGCGCATTTCCACTGCAGGGCCTCGCCATGGGCCTCGCACGGTATAATTATAAGGCTCACTTTATGCTGCGTTTCCATTACAGTTTAGGAACTGGGGTAGTAACTATAGTAACGCAGTGTAGGCGGAGCCGTGACGTCATCTTCAATGCGAAACACAAAACCAAACATCAGCCGTTAGCTGTTAGCCCTCAGAGCTCACAGCTCCTCATATCTGTTCAGAAACTAGACAAAAGTTAAACAAGTACAAACCACAGACTGTCTGTGTCATGGTGAATACAGTCGCTGCTTTATGTATGTCTGTAGGCCGTTGTTGTGAGTGTGGACGGTCGGAGCATATACTGCGTTAGCTTAGCCAATCTCCATTCAGAAAACACGCATTTTTCATCTGCAGACTTGTCAAAGCATTAATTCATGGTTTTTACTAACCGGTATCAGTATGTTGTTACTTCGGCATCATTTTGAAACGTGTATTACAATTAAATCACGGTCAAATATGTTCATTGTGTTGTAGTTGTAGCCACTCACGTCACTAGTTTAGCATACTCAGCCCGGTTGTTGGCCCGGAAAGAACCTCGATTTTGGAGGGCCAGAAAAACGGTGAAAAAGTACCCGCTAGCCGGAACTACGCCAAGTGGAAACGCAACAAAAAACGGGCCGGGTTTGGCACGGCACGCTTAAACCGTGCTACGCGCTGCAGTGTAAATGCGCCATAAGTCATTTCTGGGTTTTAGGACTCATTCCTGAACCACTCTTATTAGGTAGCTCTTTTTTTAAATGATTAATTGTGTTGCTTTGTCCAGGATCTACTCCCATCTGCGAGGACATCGGCAGACAGATGCTGTGCTACAGTCGGAGGATCCCTCTGCACGAGCTGGAGGCCCGGATCGATGTGAGAACAAGTCAAATATCTCTTATGATTTCATATTTTAATGATGCTTTATCGAATGCTAACTTTAGGTGAGTTTAAGAGAAATCTAGAGACACACATTTAGTCAAATAAACCCCTACATGTGTGGATCTGTTCTTTCCACCAGTCTGAAGTTGACGAGAGCATGACCAGTCTACTTATTTTGCAATTTCAGGCCTTAAAAAAAATTATTAAATTGAGCTTTTACTTGTGGAAAATGTTGATTCTGTTTGTATGACCTTCTGCTTTTTAAGTAATCTGATGCTTTCTAAAAAAAAACACACACCCTACCTTTCTCTCCTGAGCCGAGATCTTATTGGTTAACAATACGAGACTTATTATGATCAATAAAAAACAGGAAACTCTGCTTCGCTCCAAGGCTTTTCCTCCATGCTAATAGGAATAAAGTCATAATGGCATTCTCCGAGGGAAAGTATTGGTGTGTTATTAATGTTGTGATGTTTATTTCTGCCCCTCAACAGGCTATTGATGCCACGACCATCAAGGACGTTTGCACCAAATACATCTACAACAAGGCTCCTGCCATCGCAGCCGTTGGTACGTTACGGTTTTTAATATGAACATGTGTTTATGAGTATATCTTGAACATGCTGTAGTGGCTGAAGAACCCTCTCTTTAATGTTAGGATACCATTTGTTTCTGCAAGGGTCTAAGGACAGGATGTTGAATACTGTACGGATTGAGCCATTTTCTTATAAAGTAAATTACCGTCAGAGATTCATAAAGTGGATAAAATACTCGATATGAAAATACCAATTCTGCACTTTTATCTTGGGTAAGGTTGACTTTCATTGAGGGCGCTTTAATCAATATTTATTCGGAGTTCTGATTACTGCTTGTAAGAAAAGCATCACAAAGATCTGGTTCCCTCACAATTGAAGAATGGATAGATATAGTTAATAACATTAAATAATGGAACAAATTACTTTTTCTCTTCGTCTACAGATTAATAGATTTACTGAGCTATGGTCGCCTTTATTCGCCAGACACGGCCCCATTTCATAAAAGTCGTCAGAAAAATAAGTAAAGTACTGATACCAGAAAAATGTACTTAAAGGGGACCTATCCTGCAAAATGCACTTGTTGATGTCTTTTATACATAAAGATGTGTCCCCCGTGTGTCGGGGAACTCACGCAGCGTCAGACAATAAAACCCTCTCTCTTTTCCTCCGTACCCAAATCTCTAAAAACGGGGCTACAACGGAGCTGATCCAGATTTGGGTCCGATATGACGTAATATCTGAAATGTGGACCCACGGCACTATCAGAAACGTTGCTATCAGAAACAATGCCCGACTGTTTTGGACGTAATATGGTCGGTGTTTACATTAGCATCGCTAACACTCAGAGCTAACCTGTACTGGAGAGCATGTGTGTGAAGAAGCAGGAAATAAAAAGGAACTCACCTTGTGGTATAACCGGCTAGAGAGAAAGCCTTTGAGCTCCATACTGTTTCAGAAACAATCCTTGATAATCCATGATATGGCGTTTCATCACGGCAGCATTTAGTTTAGACAGTAGCTGCCGGGTCCCGCATGAGCTCAGACCCCTCCTTTTGTATTTGATCAATTCTTTATTTTTTTAAAGCTTTATACCCCAAATCATCACTTTTGAAACAGGAAGTGAAATAGAGGGATATGAGGAGCTCCAACAAGCCGTTTAGGACAGAGAGTGAATACACATGCTATACAGAGATGCTGTATGAGAAACCAATGTGAGTTTGGAACATTGAACAATGGAAATCTATTCTAGTAGACCTCAACAATGGAAATATGATCAGTAGAAATGGCCATGACATGGGACCTTTAATGTTTTATGTGAGGAACTGTGGATGGAAAGTAGCTCAAAGCTAAATCCGGCATATTTACACTTGGCACATCTCATGTTTTAAGTGTTCATTAATGTGCAATGTCCCAGCCAAATAAACAAATACAAAATAAATAAAATAAAAAGCAGTGCAATACATTTTCTGTATCCCTAACTTTTTTATTTTTTGTTTTCAGGTCCAATTGAACAGCTGCCCGACTACAACCAGATCCGCGGCGGCATGTACTGGATGAAACCCTGAACACATCACCCGTCAAATGTACAGCGAATAAAACACAGAAACACAAAGTATTTAAGTATCCTCTGTAGTATTTTTTTTCCTCCTTTAATTTTTATTATAAAATAAAGACCAACACAATAATGTTAAAATAACACAGGTACTATTCTTTGTGGTTCTTGTCATTTTTTAGTCTTGCCTGCGACATCCTGTGCAGCTTTCTTGGCTTTAACCATTTCCACCAGTTCCTGTCGGAGAAACAGGGAACTGGGTTAGCATAGCATGGGTTAGCATAGCACGAGAATTACAGACACCAGTGTAACATATAAACGGAGTAGACACAATATGACACCTTAAAACATCACAACAAACTATGGCGAACAGCAGAGGTGGAGAAGTACTCAGATCTTGTACTTGAGTAAAAGTAGAAGTACCAGAGTGTAGGAATACTCTGTTACAGTAAAAGTCCTGCATTCAAAATGTTCCTCAAGTAAAAGTAGGAAAGTATTCTCATCAAAATATAGTTAAAGTAGCGACAGTAAAAGTAGTCATTGTGCAGATTGGTCCATTTCAGAATAATATATATGATATGTTTTATAATGATTGATCATGAAAGTGTTCTCAAAGCTGGTAAAGGTGCAGCTAGTTTGAATGACTTTGTATACTGCAGGGTAGCTTGTGAATTTACTCCAGGTGGAACTAAAGTCTGATTTAACACTTGATTATATTTCACATCATTCATCCAGATCTGTGAAGTAACTAAAGGTATTAAATGCAAAGGTACACGATTTACCTCTGAATTGTAGTGGAGTCGAAGTACATCAGTAAATCTACTTAGTTACTTTACACCACTGTCTAAAAGAGGCCTTCACAACATGCCTGTTCCTACAAATGATTGGAAAATGTTTTATTCTTACCAAGTGTCATTCTCAGAAACAGCTACTGAGTTATACTGATTTAATTTAAGCATATGTGCCGGGTAAGTGGAAACAGCTGTTCAAACATAAATTAAATCTTGCATTAGGGATAAAACCCTAGGGGGGGGGGGTTACCTTGGTTGGTGATTGGCTAATGGTTACACAAGCCAAAACATCGTTATGACATAAAGTGGCCAAAATCTGATCAGCTCATTTTCAGACAGGTTTTTATAGAAATGGATCAGGACAAAAAGAGAGAGAATCTTTGTTCCTGAAACTTTCAAAGTCTCTTTCCACAGAGGGGACACATGTTGATGAAGAAGAGACATGAAGAAGAGGGGACACATGTTGATGAAGAAGAGACATGAAGAAGAGGGGACACATGTTGATGTAGAAGAGACATGAAGAAGAGGGGACACATGTTGATGTAGAAGAGACATGAAGAAGAGGGGACACATGTTGATGTAGAAGAGACATGAAGAAGAGGGGACACATGTTGATGTAGAAGAGACATGAAGAAGAGGGGACACATGTTGATGTAGAAGAGACATGAAGAAGAGGGGACACATGTTGATGTAGAAGAGACATGAAGAAGAGGGGACACATGTTGATGTAGAAGAGACATGAAGAAGAGGGGACACATGTTGATGTAGAAGAGACATGAAGAAGAGGGGACACATGTTGATGTAGAAGAGACATGAGGAAGAGGATTTTGGATAATAGGTCCCCTTTAAATGTTAAAAGTAAAAAGAACCGGCTCTTGATCTCACCTTGTACCTCTTCATACATTCCTTCTTGCTCCGCCCCGGCACGGTCTCAGCGATCTTCTCCCAGCGCTCAGGAGTGCTGACGGGGAATTTTTTCAGGGCTTGTTCCAGAAGCTTCTGTTCCTCCGTGGTCCAGGAGGCACCAGGAACTGAGGAAACACAGCAGGTCAATAACGCTGCACTTTAAGATAAGATGTACTTTATCCATCTGCCAATACAAGCACTTTGGTTCATGTTCAATCCATAATCAAATATAAAATGATAGTTGGATCTTTTTGTCTTGTTATTATTACAGGGTTCCTGCTGGTTTCGCCAACTCAAATGTAAGACTTTTTAAGACCACTTTGAATAGAATTTAAGACCTATTTCACGGCCAGAAAGTATGAAGGAAAATTGCTATGAAAGAAGAAATACGTCCCATAATTACTTACAAAGTAAATGTATTCATGTTCAACATAAGAACAATGACTGAACATAACAGCATAACAGTACACAGAACTGTGTTAGACAAAAGTGTGTGTGTGTATGTGAGAGTGACAAGAGCTATATTCAGAGCTCTGCTGCCTTGGCTACAATCTTTCATCGTTGTTGTTGTATGATTGGTGTTTGGCTACGGTATTTAGCGTCTACAGCACCTCCGCTTTTAGGGCTTCAAACACGTTCCCCTCCACTGGTTTCAACCAAGCACTAAATTCGATGTTTTCCCAACCAAATACGGTTGAACTTACACTTCCTCATATTTATTTGGAAGTAGAATCGAAGATACCTAATTTCTGACTGCCGCTAGCTGAAGCTTGGTTGCTAGGTTACTAGCTGGGTGTTCTCCGATAAGGGGCCGGGGGAAACAAAGTTAGTGATTACTGGTTCCATGTTGATTTATTTCAATACAAATAGTTTGGGGGGGAACTGAAAGGCTCTCACCGTACTGGTTACTTTGCAGCCCGGACATTTCCCCCAAAACACATTTAGACGCGATCTCAACACAGAAGTACCTTTCAAATCCCATCATTTTTAAGACCTTCTAAATCATATTTAAGACCTTTCTTATATTTTTGGTCATATTTAAGACCTTTTTAAGGCCTTAAATTCAGATTATCAAATTTAAGACCTCGCCGGAACCCTGTATTAGCACAGAAAATGTAATGTGTGTACAACTATATAAAATGTATTCTACCAATCTCGGTGGGAACCGGGTTACGGGGGGGGCTCGAAAATATTTCCAATTACGGTACACAAGGAGGGCCTGACTGAAAAAGGTTGGGAACCACTGGATAAATGAATCACATACGACAGTCTGGTTTGTGTGTCGTTACAGATTTACTCACTGTCGAATCTCTCTGAGGGCTGAGCGTTGTCGATGGTGGCAGCGACGACAGAGTGCTCCTTATTAAACTTTTCAAACGCCTTCCTGTTGGTATCGTCTTTCTGCTTGGGGTCTGTGGAAATAAAAGTTACAGTTAATCTCAGTTCATTTAAACATGACTGTAAACTGAGTGGTACGGCCCTGATGCTAGATTGAAGCAAGCGGCATAAATAATGTTGTTATTGTTTTTCATTTCTGATCTCACCTAGCCGTTGTAGACTCTTGGCTTTGATGATGACGTCCTTCGCCGTCCTCTTCGTGCCGCTGGTGGAGTGAAGGTTCATGTAGTCGGCAATAACTTCCCACCTGGAAAGAAAATAAAAACTCAAATGTGAGTTGGTCTTTAAGTATCCAATTCTTTTTCTGATGACTTTTTACTTTGACTTCTTACATGTTGAACACAAATACCTGAACTTTCTACTTCTTACATTTTGAACCCAAATACCTGTACTTTCTACTTCTTACATTTTGAACCCAAATACCTGTACTTTCTACTTCTTACATTTTGAACACAAATACCTGTACTTTCTACTTCTTACATTTTGAACACACATACCTGTACTTTCTACTTCTTACATGTTGAACACAAATACCTGTACTTTCTACTTCTTACATGTTGAACACAAATACCTGTACTTTCTACTTCTTACATGTTGAACACAAATACCTGTACTTTCTACTTCTTACATTTTGAACACAAATACCTGGACTTTCTACTTCTTACATGTTGAACACAAATACCTGTACTTTCTACTTCTTACATTTTGAACACAAATACCTGGACTTTCTACTTCTTACATGTTGAACACAAATACCTGTACTTTCTACTTCTTACATTTCTAACACAAATACCTGTACTTTCTACTTCTTACATTTTGAACACAAATACCTGTACTTTCTACTTCTTACATGTTGAACACAAATACCTGTACTTTCTACTTCTTACATGTTGAACACAAATACCTGTACTTTCTACTTCTTACATGTTGAACACAAATACCTGTACTTTCTACTTCTTACATGTTGAACACAAATACCTGTACTTTCTACTTCTTACATGTTGAACACAAATACCTGTACTTTCTACTTCTTACATGTTGAACACAAATACCTGTACTTTCTACTTCTCACATTTTCCAAACAGGCTGGTTCCTTTAGTTTGAATGTGTGTCTGGTGGCGTGATCATTATTATTTAGAGTCATTGCGTGCCTATTGATTTGAACACGATCCGTGTATCCATCATTTCCTGGTCTTCTCTAAAGAAGAGGGACCAATGAAAACGTTGTCATGTTGCCGTTGTTCAGCATGGAAACATTCATTAGCTAACAATGACATTATTGTTCTATTAATATAAAGGGAGGTCAGGTACTCTTTAAAACAGCTGCTAGTTATGGGTACTTTTTACTGAAGTACATTTCAAAGCCCTCTTTACTTTTACTTGAGTAAAGAAGTTTAGTCAGTACTTCTACTTTCACCAGAGTATTTTTAAACACCAGTATCTGTACTTCTACTTGAGTAAAGGATGTGTGTACTTTTGCCATCTCTGGTTATGTCTGAATGTTTACAATAAGTGCATTCGACCAAGAAGATACAAACTTGAAGAAAACAGAATCATATAAGTACATCAGGTTTCATTGAGCCACAACATTACAAGTGCTACTCAACTGGCTTTAGATAAGCCAGTCCTTTATTAGTATATAAGTGCTTTGTTAGTAATTGTATTGCTCGAAGTGGAGTCGAAAGAGATGAGTTTTCAGTCTGCCCCGGAAGATGTGTAAGCTTTCTGCTGTCCTGATGTCAATGGGGAGCTCATTCCACCATTTTGGAGCCAGGATAGCAAACCCACGTGTTTTTGCTGATGGGAACTTGTGTGTACCTGGCGTTGGTCCCAGCAGGAAACAGGTTGACGGCCTTGATGAGCATCTGGAGGTCTTCCTCGTTGAAGCCCTTCCCCCCCGACCCTCCTCCTCCTCCTGCGCTGGCGTGATCAGAGCGGGTCGGCTGCCGCTGCTGAACCTCCGCCTCCTTCTCCCTCT